CGGTACCAGGTGCAGTGGCGCTAAGGTGCACTGCTGCGTCCCAGGCGCACAGTGATGTAACTTGCGAGCCTGAGTCAAAGAATGAAGGAAAGGCTAATCTATTTAAAACTCAAACTGGAAGCACGAATTGATCTGCCTGATCAAACAGACAAGGAGTTGAGGCCCCCAGCCAGCATGGCCTTAAAATAATCTGAGGGTGAGCAGACAGAATTCAAAGAGGGCAAAGATAGTAATGCAATGATAGATAGTCAGTGCAAACAGCTAACTTTTGATAAGGACAGCTCCCTTCCACAGCTCTAAGAGAGGGTGGTCTCACCCCCCAGCCCCCAGACCAAATCCTCAGATACTCAGCACCTTCTCTAAGATGGCTCAGGACTTGGGTATAAGCTATAACCCCTCACATAGGTCGAGCCATCTCCACAGTGCTTACCGTAAGTGGCGTAATGTAAGTGCTAGTAGACAGTTGTGGTTCTTCTATGTTATTTAGGAAAGAATGGCAAGGGGGAGAAGTGTGTATTGTTTATCACAGTTAGAATTTTTAAGATCTTTCTCACACAGATGTGGAGCCAATGGATAGGGAGGACCAAGAACGCCAGTTATAGCTGCATACTGCTTCTAAACACTGTCCCCACGTAATTTTACTTGACTGTTAATGTACTTTCTAATGCTCATTTGCCATATAAAGTAACTAAGAACATGTTTGGAGTATTCAGGATCTACAGCTATGGAATCAACCCAAATTAGAACCAGACATGTGCAAACGTGAGTGCTGGCTGTCGCCCACCAGACGTGTGCAAACGTGAGGGCCGGCTGTCGCCAACCTTGCCTGCTTTTGGCTTGGCTGAGGCCACTGGCCTCCTTCTGTAGGAAACACTAGAGATATTCAAAGTATCCTTAAAGCAATGTAGTCTGGGAGGAGGATTTTTTCAGAGCAGTGGAACAAAATAATATATAAAAATATATTTAAATTTATATACATATATATGAATTTGCATAATTTGATATGATGTTTTAAATCAATAAAAAAGTAGCTGGCATTAAATGCACAGAAATCAGCTGCTTTTAGAGGAGGGTAGAATAAATTAAAGCCATGCATTCTGTTAAGAAAGAAAGAAAAAAAGAAAGAAGAAAGAAGGGAGGGAAGAAGAAAGGAAGGAGGGAAAGAGGAAGAAAGGAAGGGAGGAAGGAGGAAGAAAAGAGGAAGAAGGAAGAAGGAAAAGTCAGTTCTTCAGGGGATCTGAGTGTTTTGGAGGTAGTGCCCACACCACTCATAAAGATTGACTGGAAAAACACCTACGTTCAGAGATAAGCATTTTACTTTACTTCTTCCCTTGGGGGAAAAGATGCTTAAAAGACAGAACAGCGCTGTGCTGTCCCCTGAACTCCAGGAGACAGACACTCCTGTGAACTCCCTAGGCCCAGAACCACACGTGCTTCCTTCCAGGAAAGACAGGTTTCTAAGGTGGTGACTGCTCTGGGGCTGAGGGATGGCTGCCTTGTATCTCTGTTGCTGCTAATGAAAAATAAGAGACAACGGAAGAAAAGAACTAAACAGACCACCTTCTTGGGAAAATATTCAAGTAGAATCAAGACCAAAAGGAATAGGGTAGGGTCCGCCAATCACAGTCACCAAGATTTGGCTCCCAACGACATGGAGTTTGGTTAGGGGTCAGAGGGACAGCAAGGTGGCAGTAACAGGATCTAACAGGGAGAGCTGCCCTTGACTGGCAGGAAAGCAAGTCCAAAAAAGAAAAAGAAATTAACAACAGAAGTCAACTTCCTGGAAGGGTGAGATTCTCATAATCTGAAATGTTGGTAGCGTTGGTCACAGTTTGTAAGGACTGGGCAGCGCTAGCATGAAGACGTTCCCTGGGGACACAAAGAAGCCTTCGCCTTCGAAGACTGTGGCTAGGGACTGGCCTTGAAGCTGGAGTGGGTGTTAGGAGAGAGGATGGCTGTGACTCTCTTGTTTGGGAACACCTGGCCCTTCACACTTCAATCCAGTCTTTCTAGCCTCTTAACAGATTGCCGACGCAGGAGGAGGTGCTGAAGAGTGAGAATGGCGGGGTGCATGGATGTTTCCTCTCTGTGTTAACACTGCAGCATGAGGAGGTCTACCTGGGACTAGACCTGCGTGGGGAATGCTCTAGGCTATGTTAGCGTGTTTGTTTTAACATAGCTGCAGGTGCAAAAAACAATGGGCGAGGTGCCTGGAGGTAGAGTCCGCTGAGAGTTAAGGGAGCACCCGCAACACTTGCTGTTTCCTGTTCATGTCCTTTGTTCCTTCTCCCAACTGCATCTCGGCACTAAACGCGCTACTGCACTTATGACCACAGTGATTACTGTTGTTGGACACGGTTACTGACTATTCATTAAAGCCTTCCCGGGTATCATCTCATTTAATTCTCACAACTGAGTCCCAGTATGAAAACAGTTCGGCATACAGACCTTCCTGCTCTAGTAGTGAGCTTGTGTGTTAGGGCTGTGCATGCATGTTGCATGTGTGTGTGGTGTAGATTTGTGTGTGTGTGTGTGTGTGTACTTGTATGCACATTGGAGGCCCAATGTTGCTGAATCTGGTGCTCATCAGTTCCAACTGAGCTAGTCAGCAGTGTTGCCTAAGGGAGGTGCTGCAGGTGCTTCTCAAGAGACAGAATTACAGGCAGCTGTGAAACCCAACCAGCTGTCCAGCTTTCATGTGGGTTCTGGGGTTCACACGCCGGCCCTCACACTTGCATGGCTAGTGCATTATCCACTAGAACCATCTCCTTTCCTTCCTTCCTTCCTTCCTTCCTTCCTTCCTTCCTTCCGTCCGTCCGTCCGTCCGTCCGTCCTTCCTTCCTTCCTTCTCTTTCTCCCTCTCTCCCTTCCTTCTATCATATACTTCCTTCCATTCTTTCTGAGACATGATCTCACTTTGTAACCCTGAATGGCTTGTTACTCATTGTGTTGACCAGACTGACTTCAATTTCACAGAACTCTTCCAGCCTCTGCCTCCTGAGCGTTGGGATTAAAGATGCGAGTCATCCTGTCTAGTTTAGTACTGACTCTTATGCATTGGTTATAAGTTTTCAGTTCGCCTGTTGGTTACAGGTGCTGCCTTTGCTCCTCGCTATCAACATGTTTCCTAGGAAAACAGCTATTCTTTCTCGGGAGAACTACTCCAAACCCCTTACCTCAATGTTTTCTGTCTATCATCTTTCCTTTCCCCATCCCTCCACCTAAGAACTATCCCACAGATGTTTGCTTTGTGCTAAGGATCCTGCCAGGCACTAAAAATAAATCATGAAATTCTGTGATTCCAGAATTCAGGTCTAAGAGGAAGAGGAAAGTGTGCAGATCAATTACATAGCAATAATTCTATGTCTTTTAATATGTAAGCACCACAAATGTTCCCTGAGCTTTCTCTTTCTCTAGCATCTAGCTTGGTATTGAGAACATTTTGAAGAGTGCACATGAATTCTACCATACTGTTTCATCACTGATATTTTATCCCCCCCATTTCCTAAGTTTTTCTTAGATAAAACCAAAATCTTTGGTACCATCTATAGAGAAGATGCTGGGGAAAAATAGGTCTTGTGTCAAAACAGGCCTTTGAAATTCACAGGAGAGGAAAATTGTTCTTTAGAATTTTGTGGATCTGGGCCGGCATGCAAGGGTCAGAGTGTGATTCTTGTTAGGATGCCTGAATGCATGGAAGGAGCAGATTTGGGCTACATGTCTTCAGAGGCTTCCCCTGAGTGGTAGGAAAAGTTTGTAGAAACACACACACACACACCCATGTATGTACACACACACACACACACACACACTCAAACACATATATTTAAGTTCATAATCTGTTTTAAGTTCTGACAGTTGTGTTTGCTTGTTTGTTGGAGACAAAGGCTGGCTATGTAGTCCAGACTGCCCTCCAATTCATCCTCTTGCCTCTGCCTCCCAAACGTTCAGATTATAGCAGTGATAAATTATTTTGACTTATCTATATTTAAGAAATCAAGTGTAAAAATGTATATCTAACTGTAGGGTGTGTATGGATGGGCTCACGGGGATCCAAAAACTCCCTGATATTATAGTAGTTTCCAAGACAGGGTCTCCACTTGTTACCCAACTGAACCCAAGATCATAAAATAATTAAGACCCAGTGAGGAGAGTCTTTAAGATATAGAAATGAAGGCCCATGAATAGGACAAATTTTCGCTTCCTAAAATCAAAGCCTTTTAGCATAGCTTGCGAACATAATACTGTACTTACATCAAGAGCCACAGACTGCTTGGCCCAGGACTTCTTCACTTGATCGTACATAATTGTGTTGTTGATACCAAGGCCACAAAAGATGACAAAAGCCTAGGACACAGAAAGCCTGTTAATTAGAAACCATAATAACTCACAGACAAAATCTAATATGAAAGCCACAGGCCACCAGAGACAGTTCTGAAAATATAATTTTATTGTGCTCAGAGGTGGGCCTCAGGGAAATGTGCATTACAGTTCTTAATTACTACTGTCATGGAAGAGCTTTATAGCTCACATTGCACACGAGGAAAAAAAAATCATTATTTAAATGACACTGTGAAGAAATAATGTCACACATTTGGAACTAATGTGATCTGAATTTATTTGGGCGGAAGACTGACTTTAATTATTCTATTTTATTTAACCAGGAACAGCCCATTTCAATAGCAAGGTTATAAAATATTTTGGCCAAGAAAGTAAGAAAAAGAAGCCATGAGCTGAGAGCTAAAGGCAACGAGACTGACTTGGAACCAGCTGGTAGCACAAAGATGCGAGGAGGAAGGGGCACTGACACCCTCGGTGGGCAGACTCCGGCCCAGTCCATGAGGAAGCGCAGCAAAGCTGCCCTCTTCTGCTGTGACACAGGGAACAGGGCCTCGTGAACCAAAGAACGCGGGGAACATACACCTGGCGGGGCTGGCTAAGGGTCTCATGACTGGACACATGCGAACAAGACAGGGATGGTACTATCAGACAGACGCGGAGGTGATTCAGTTCTGCAATGAGACTAAGAAGAATGATCCAAGGTCACAAACTAATCCGATGAGCGGAAGCACAATCAAATTTTGCCTTGTGTTTATATAGTCTTTAAAATTTCCTCTTTGCTGGTACGCCGTTTAACTACATTAAGAAGATGAATGTTTACCCTAAAAAAAAATGCGGGCAAGGAAACGGCTGGCCCTTGGCTTTTAAATTTATTTTCTCACCTCAAAAAGCCGCTGGTCTGCATCATCAAAAGGTTTCCCATCGAGTCTGTTCAGCACTTGAGCGACCCCTGTTGAGGGAAAGTGGAGACAGTGGTCACTGTGAGTACTGGGCATTGTGTCTCTGGGAGAGAACAGGCCGCAGCTAATTCTATGAATAGCTTAACACACTCATTCAACACGCCTCCACGCTGGAGATGTGATGTAGTTGGCAAGTATATTCGAATATGTACACCCTGTTTTACATATGTCACTGAATCAATTTATCTCTGTATATAATACATAATTCCTCCCCCCACCACGCTTTGGTGTTTGGGAGGGGCACTGTGGCAGAGTGATTCGGAACCTGGATTTATGTAGAACCTTAGCTCCAATACCAAGTGTGTGACCACAAGTAAATGCACCATTTTAGTGACGAACTTCCTTATCTACAAAAAGAGTTAAAATACGAACTACCTCAAAGGATGTGAAATAAGTCTTAAATGTTCAACATGCATACTCAAGACATACAACATGATATTATGGGACACACATGGATCAAAGCAAAATTAGTTCTGCTACCTGCTACCAATGGCGCACACACTCAACAGTCTCAGTTTATGAGGGTTTCCTCTTTCCAAATACATTCCCGGCATTATACCAAATGTGTTGGTGTTTGACTTCCAAAAAAAAAAAAAACCCACCACAACAATGCTCTAACTGAAAAGCTCAGTGTGTTCGAATTTAGCAGAAATATGCAAATAAAATAGCTATGATTTGCTGGGTGGTAGTGGCACACGCCTTTAATCCCAGCACTTGGGAGGCAGAGGCAGGCGGATCTCTGTGAGTTCTAGGCCAGCCTGGTCTGCAGAGTGAGTTCCAGAAAGGTCAGGGCTACACAGAGAAACCCTGTCTTCAAAAACCAAAACCAAAAACAAAACAAAACAAACCAAAAAACCTCTGTTTCTAAAGTAATCCTGTATTTTTAAAAGTACCTAACTTCCCTGGTGAACTGATTGGATTCTTAGCAATATATAACTACATGAAAAGTCTTTAGCATATAAGAAAAAAACTACAGCCCGGACTTTGGAGTAATAGCGACGTTTGTCATTAGGATTGAAATGTAGGATTATATGTGAGGTTGTCATTCAGTTAATATGCAATTGTTTTCTACGGACATTTTCTCTCCTTTAAATATGGATATATCTAAAACTCGATATATGGTATTTGTATTCAGGCTCAGCTTCTAAGATCCTAGAATATTCTTTATGCTTAATAACCTACTAATGTATTGGTACAAGCTCAGCAGTCCAGCAGGAAAGACATCCTTCAGAAATGAGGGACTTGGGTTGCAGTGGATCTCATTGTCCAGTGTTTGCAGTGAGCAGGAGGAGCCGCCTGAACTGAGGGTGGTGAGGCACACCTGTGAGCTCAGCCCTCAGAAGGCAGAGCCAGGAAGACCAAAAGTTCCAGGAACACATAAAGCTCTGTCCTCCCCCACAAAAAAAATCTGACCTCGACAACACTCCCAGGGCACTAAGTCATTGGTTAGGCAGTAATATCTTTGAGTTTAGCCAGTAATCTTAGAGTGTGTTAGAGAGAAGCGAAATTGTATGTTATGTTCCAAATACATCCATCACCTTATGTCTCCTAGGAGAAAAAAAAATCACATTTTTGTTGTATTTTCATAGCTTTAAGTAAATCTCTCTCCTTCATGATTGTCAAGCTTAATCATAAACTCTTTATTTGCCTGCGTGTCTGTATTGACTCTGGTATTTTTCTGATTGAGTTGTTTCGTTTTGTTGGTTTGGGTTTAGGTTTTATTTACTTCTTTTTGAGGCAGGGTCTCCTATAGTCCCAGGGTGGCCTTGAACTCACGGTGTAGCTGAGGATGACTTTGGTCTCTTCCTGCCTCTACCACCAAAGTGCTGGGTCTCAGCCATGTGCCGTTATGCCAGGCCCCAACTCTTTCCCTAGGTAAAGGGAGATGGCAGGTAGGGAGAAAATGTCGGAAGCTGCTTTTGCCTAGTTTCCTTACTGTGGGGAAAGCGTCTCTTTAGAGATATGCCAGCAAAGCTATGTGTCCAGATGTGTCCAACACCTCTGCACCCACACTATGTGTGAAAGCTCAGACATGGACGTAGACATCCTAGGAAAGTTTGGACTCCTCAAGCTTAATCTTGATCTCCTATTAACTATAAGTTTGTGGCTGTTTCAGTCTCTCCTCTCCTCCCTCTTTCTCTCTCCCTAATTCCATCTCTTTTCTTCAATGTCTGCCATGTAGAATAACAAAGTTCAGTTGGTAGGCTTCTGAGAGCCCTCCCAGCTTTGGAATTTACTAGTGCTCTGAGCTCAGTAGATAGTTGTTCCTGTTCTAACGGATGCCTATTCGTTAGTAGTCTGTGCTTATGGAATTGTAGAAGAGTATGGAGACAGAGCTCCATACTCTGGGGTTCTGGGGAGCCAGAGGAGGGATGGTTGTTATGAGCCCTGGGCTAGCCAGAAGTCAAAGGCAATACACACACACACACACACACACGCACACGCACACTCATACACACATACACATGCCTACTCACACATGCACACACACACACGCATGCATACACATGCATACTCACACATACAGACACACGCATATAGTGTCATATATACAGGCCTGGTTCCCGTTTTAAAAAGGTGTCTGTTGTCACACAAAGAATCGCATGGGTAATGCCTTACCAATTATTTGGTGGTTGCTGTTCCAAATAGGGACACAGAGAACAGATCTTATGTGAAAACCAGATATCTGGTCAGCCTAGGGTAGAAAAAAGAAGCTAGTTATCATTGACTATTAATTACCCATGGAAAAGTTATTTCTATACACAACACCATTTTTTGAGACAGGATCTGACACCACCTAGCCTAGCCTTGAACTCACCGTTTCCTCACCCGAGCCGTGACATCCGTTATACCTAACTTTTTCATAAACACTCACTTATTCTTCTCTTTACTATGTCACAATGAACAGCACAAGAAAATCGAATTCAAACAGAATTGATTCGTTGAATAACTCAAACAATGAAAAATCAGCCTGACTTGCCCAGTCCCTGCAACCATAGAGAAAGGGTCCACAATTATGGCACCAGACAAGTATTCTGCAGTGGATTCTGGATAATTAAGACATTTTAATTATACCAGTAGTCAGTGTTTAATCTTTGACTGGGCATACCCATTGGTAAGAATGATTGAACCTACAAGGAAATGTTTTATAACGTATTAACTTTTTTTTTTCTTCAAAACAGAGTTTCTTTGTGTAACTTTGGAGTCTGTTCTGGAACTCACTTTGTAGACCAGGCTGGGCTTGCGCTCACAAAGATCCTCCTGCCTCTGCCTCCTGAGTACTGGGATTAAAGGCATGCGCCACCACCGCCTGGTGCACATTAATACTACACGTTTTAAGATTTGTTTTTATTATTTTAAATTGTGTATAGGGCTCTCTGTGTGGGTGTGGGAATGTGTGTGTGAGTGTGGGTGTCACATCCCCAAGCTGGAGTTACAGACAGTTGTGTGGCACCTGACGTGGGTTTGGGGACCTGAACTTGGGTCCTCTGGAATAACAGTGTCCTTCACTGACAAACCGTCTCTCCAACCCAATAATACGTATTTTTAATTTTGCTAAGTTGTTACGAATGTTGTAAAATCCCGTAACAAAACTTTAAAAACAGAAATTGAGAAAGAAAAAAAAAACCCAATGAGAGGGTTCAGAAGAACTGAGTTCTAACAGAGGTCAGATATGAAAATCTGCCAATTTGAAATGTCTGATGTTAATTCATATTTGAGTGGCCAGAGAGGAGCTACTGAGCTGAAAGGGCTCTGGCGAGTTAATATGACCTTTGGTCCAGCAAGAAAAGCCCACCTGTCATCCGATGACTGTAGCCGGAAGAATAAGAGAGCAGTGATGGAAAGATATCTTAATAGTCATTAATAGTTAAAACCTACACATTTTTTAAGAGTTAATAACTATATACTGAACATTTTGAACCTAGAAGTTAATTCACAAAGCTAATTTTATATTTGATATCATTTTTGAAAAAAAATAATTTTCTATGTTGGTTATAAAGGTGAATACACGTGCAGAGATATGCAGAATTCACAAGGATATCTGCCTATTTTCACGAAGCACACTGCCATCGAGAAATAAGTCAGTCACTTCATGGCTCCTTCCTCTCCCCTGAACCAGTACCCAGACCTCTACCAACGAAAACTAGGCTGCTTCATTTAAAACTGACAGAAAGTGACTCATTAAAGGCATACTCTTGTGTGGTTGGCTGCTCCCTGTCCGACTGTTCATCCCACTCTTGTGGAACACTGTCCAGCTTCCTTCCAGCTTACCACTAAGCAATGTACTTAGGAATATTCTTGTACGTACTTCATACACATATGAATGAATTCCTTGAGTCTGCCACTGTAATAAACTCACTGGACTGCAGGCACAGAGGTGGCAGTGGGTGCAACCCAAAGGCTTCCCGAAGTGTTTTTTACCAATCAACAAGGGCATGGGAGTTCAGTTGCTTTACACAATCACCCTTCTGGTGATAAGTCTGGTGCTTGTTTGCTTTGTTTTGTTCTGTTTTTTAACAATCCCAGGGGCTGTGAGGTAGTTCTGATGGTGAAAATACTGTGAGTATCGCTGATAACCAGGAGAACCATTTGCATTGGCTTGTCCGTTTTGGCATCAAGGCCTTTGTACTTTCAAAGTATCCTCAAGCAGACTACACACCGCCTGGCTGCCCCACTGAGGGACAGCGAAGCTATGTGGCTCCCTTATGTTGTCTACATCTATCTTCTCTCTCATAAAATACCGCTTCAGAGGTGTTGTTCCTACTGGGTTTTCTGACTTTTAAAAATCAAATTTAAAAAATCTTGATCTACGTGATGAGTAAAAGCCGCTCTGTAAGAAATACAGATTAGAAACGTCTTCTTCCTTCGATGGCTGTCTTCCACTCTCTTGACTTTGAGGTAGAGGCCCACAGTACCGTTTTGCAGTATCACAGGCTTTAACTTATGGTCCGGACCATAAGTCCGGTTAGTATCTTACTGGAGAAATCTTTCCCCACCACGTTCATGGAGATCGGCTCCTATTTTCTCCATAGATCCTTGGTTACTTTAACTGATAGTCCAGTTACGTGTAGAATGCGAATCATGGGCTGATGCTTTACAATGAGGCACCATAGATAGGTATTTAAGAATCCCAGTCTGAACGTGATCTGAACAAGGACAGCACCCATAGACATGCTAATGAGGAAGGGAGTTAACCCCCTCACCTGTCACACATTCCAGAATCAGTACTGGCACCCTGGTGCGTCTCACCCGCCCCTTACCCTAAACTTCTCCAACTCATGGGCTTTCCTACCCCAGCCTCTCACCGTCCTTATAACCTTGCTATTTCTGCTATGATGCTTTCTTTTTTGTTTCTCTCTTGGGCCTCTTTTCGCTTTTGTCTTCCTCTTCCTTTCCCCTTCTCTCTCTCTCTTCTCCTGGCCTGTTCAGTCTGCCATACTTGTTCAGTCTACTGCTTTCTCTCCCTGCATGGAGTCTTCCAGATGTCGCTGACTGTGCTTGCTCTCACATCTACAGTAAAAACTTCCTCTTAGCCATACCAGGGAGCGGTCATACATCTGGTGTGAAAACCCTTAGTTTTTATGGTGGGTATACAAGGGACGTTTAGGAGGGGCGAAAGGGAAGGGGAAATGGTATAACTATATTACAATCTTAAAAATTGTTTAAGTTTCTTAAAAATTACGAAGAGAATTCCAGTTGCAAAATAAATAAACTAGAACAAAAAATAAAAGCATAAATCATTCATCCAGCATACCTTCTCACAGATAGTTATTAATGCCTGCTATGTACATTGCAGGGTATTGGGGAGATAAAAATGAACTCAGTCACTATCCTTGAAGAATTCCGTCTACTAAAGACAGAAATAAAGATGAGATATGTGTCCAAGCAGACAATGTTCAGAGCGCAGTATTTGAAAAAGCTCCAAATGACTACAGAGAAATCAAAAATAGCTTTAGACCCTTTAAAAACAAATCTCCGATGATGGCCGCGAAGATAACATTTATTGGCTGCTTGCTGTGTGCCAGCTCTGCCTTCAGCACTTCCCTGTGAATTATTTTATACACTTTTCGTACCAATGAGGTAGGTACTGTTATCATCTGCGCTTATCAGATAAAGCTTAGAAAGATTAACTGCCTTGAATGGAAGAGCCCGGCTCCCAGGAGGCCAGACAGAAACAAACACATCCATCAAAGTTATCTTTCGAGAAAGAACAGAATGACTTCCTCCCTCTCCCTGAGGATAGCATCAGAATGAAGACAGCAACAGCAAGCAGGAAGCAGAGGCAGCCAGACTAAAGGAGGCTTCCTGGGTATAACCTATGTGCTAGTAGCCCCAGCCGCTCTAGAGTAATAGGGCCCACTTTATTTGGTCAAGGAAAGTATCACATGGCACTAGACAGACAATGGTAGTCTGAGCCAGCACAGAACATCAGGTCTGCTTGTCTCCCCCTGTTCTGGGACCACAGAAACCTTTATTTAATCTCGCCCATAAATCCCAGGTAGCTGAGGGATGCCTCACGTCACAGAGTGCACAATCGGAAAGGAACATTCCGTGAGACTGCACAGCTCTGGAGTCTAGGGGTGAGAAAAACAAACCTTTCTCTGGCTGCTTGCCAGAGAGAGAAATTTGTTCACCCACTGCTTTCAAAGCAATAGCTTCTCCACCAGTATTTCTTTATTCTGGGTATATGAGCTCCCCCATCCATGCAGAGGAGGACATGGAGGTGTTTGGCTTGAGTAAAGGTGGCCATGGGGAACCTGGGAAATCGGAAGGAAACAAGAGGAAGTTCAAGTCGACCCTGGAATGGAGACGACAAAAGAGCGCAAGAGCTTTGAGCGGATGAAATCGTCAGGTCGGAACCTGTCCAGAAACATAAACAATGAAGACTTGAAGAAGGGAAACGGGGAGGACATACCACTTATGACTCAAAGGGACAGCGATGGGACAGGACTCCTGAGCCTGTGATCTTAACCCAAGACATTACAAGGCTTCTAAAATGTAGATGTATTGCTACAGTCTTCTTGGAAACTGATTTATTAATGTGTACCTGGCATGTAAGAAAGTATAAATAACCTCCAACTTATTGATTCCATGTATAATACCATGTGTCTTATGGTAATTGTCAAAATTATGCACAAAAATTTCCATATAAATTTCCATATAAATGCACAAAAATAAAGTACAAACCACAGCATTATATATCATAATGCTATGTCAGAAATGGCATGAATATTCAGAAGTCAGTTAACTAAATCATAGCACATCCAAACAACGACATGTTGTGCATCTGATTAAAGTCAGGCTACAGAATATATCTGGACATGGAAAACATTTCCTCTGTTAGGTGATAATTGTGTGGGCATCTGTGGGCGTCCAAACACGTATATACACTGAAAAATCCTTCAAAAGCTGTAGTCACAATGATTCCCTCTGGATTGCTTACCTCTGACAGTTTAAAAGTGACTGATTCTAGTTTCTAAATTTTAAATAAGGGCTGTGAATTACTTACATATGAAGAAAAAAAATTATGTTCAAAACAGAACAAACCACAGGAACAATGGTATTCAATGGCATCGAGTGATCAAGCGGGATAAGAGTTCAATTTCTCAACACATGTGTTAATTAAAGGCAGACATGGGGAGGAGATGAAGGGGTGGGATCTGAAACAACAGTCAAGTGTAGCAGAGGAAGGTC